CATCTAAAAGGGGGAGGAGTGGTCTTCACAAACATATTAGGAAAAGGTTCCTCACGAGAATATGGCATCTTCAAGTGAATTTCCCTTGCATGTACCCACCGGAGATAAGGCTCCAAAGAAATAGCTCTTCAAGGTCCCAAGTCTTTTCTACCCTTCCTGTGAATATGGTGCCAAGCCATTGCAATTTCCTCCTTATATTCCTTATGGTCCTCCCCTTCTTTGAGAAAGAAACCACTCAGATGAATACTATTTGGCTTATCCCTCATCGGATATCCATGTTGACTTCGTGCAAGAACAGGATTATAGTTAATTCCTCCCTTTTTATCAAGAGATACATTGGGGAAACTACCATAACTATCAACAATATCCACATCATAGTAAGCTTGATGGTACCAAACAATGTTGGAATGAGTGAGGGTCATAATCTTCGGAGCCCAATGAGGTTCCTTCCTGACATCTCAGAAAGCGTCAGACTGAGGTAAGTGGGAAATAAACCACTGATACAACAAATGCGTGCAACAAGTGATCATTCCTCTATGATAAGAATCCCGAAGATGAATGGAGTAATAAGAATATCCTAATAATGTAAGGACTAGATTCCCAATCAAAAAGAACCTGATGGCATTGATATCCTCAAATTTGTTGATGTTAGGAAATAAGAACAATCCATAAGCAAGTATAGCAAAGATGGCCTCAAAAGTAACCGTACTCTTCATACTAGCAAAGTAGCAAGCTTTCTCCAATAAAAACTGAGCGGGTAAGCATATGATTCCTCCTTTGGTAGTCATATAGGCCTCAATCTCAGACTTCCCCAAATGAACCATAGCAACAATCTCATGAGACTTAGGCTCTCCCTCTAAACCGGTGAAAGGAACACGATTGGTATCAGGTAAACCCAGTAGGTAAGAATATTCCTCCAATGTAGGCATGACCTGATAATCAGGGAAAGTGAAACATCGATATATCGGGTCATTAAATTGAACCAAGGTCGAGAGAGTACCCTCCTTCATCATGAGTTTCATGAGAGACACGATGGATCCATACTACTTCCGAAAATATGTAGAACTCTCGATCTCGAGAATAAGACTCATCAATTCATCTATCTTAGGATCCTTGAAATTGTACTTTTGAGTCTTTCTTTTTCCAGAATCCATGGTCAAAACGTACTTAAGATATTCACAAAAAGTTAACTTTAAGTCCCTTAAAACAAATTTTTTTAAAGGATGCTCATGGGTGCATGAATGCATGATGCAACAATCACACACAAGATCACAAACATGGGGGTTTCATAGGTTCGACATCACAAGCATGAAGTCACAGGTACTACCCACAAGGTATGGTCTAATAGTTTATCACTTACCGAACAAGGTACTAAAAGGTTCCTAGAGTCTACATCCTTCCTTCGAATATTACCAACATCCCAATTAACTCAATAATTAGTAATATTATCAGGAAAAACTCATATGAGTGTAGTATCGCGTGACAACCATTTTCGAATTACTCTGTCATAGTTTCCACACTACACCTAAAAGGCCAAGATGGGTTAAAGGTTCTATGGTCCTCAGCTTCATCAGACTCTCAAGTCGAAAGCAACATGTCTTCCTGATTACTTGGTAAATGACACTACAGTCAAAGGGACCTCCACTGAGTAGAGGATCTCATGTCTCTTTTTTTGGGATTACTCCCTCAAAGTTAACATGACTATACCGCCTGTCTTATCTTAAGTTTGCCCAAGTTCGGGTAGAGGACTTATGAGAAATCACCAAGCACCCTGAAAAACAGGAAAATCTAGACAAACATATACAACACATGATATACAACAAATAACAACACATACACATATAAACAAAGATAGGCCCAACCCACTTAGGGATGGACCAGCAATTGGTCGATTTCTTTCCCCAGTGGAGTCGCCATTTTTCTATAGCGGTAGAAATGTTGAGTCTAAGCCATTAGATTGACTTGACTTGCACAGATGAAAAAAATTTCCACCACACTTTATTGTTTCCAGAGGAATAGGAAAAGTGCTAATAACCCAAAAAGAGGGGGAGAGAATCTAAGTTCAGGGGTTGTTTATGAAAAGGGAAGGTATTAGCACCCTAAACATCTACGACACTCCGCAGGAACCTCTTTGAAAATTTATGTATTTTTGCTATAAATGTGGTATACAAAAACAGATTGTGGGGATGAGAAAAAGAAGTATTTTTTAGAATTTTCGCACTTGCTGCAGTTGTGAACCTTTAGTGCCTACGTACAACCTTCTGTGTAATAGGGGATTAGGGTACTCATAGTTCACCTTTAAAAATTTTAAAACACAAGTGTGTTGGTTAATTTTAATAGACGAGACATCATCATCTTATCCGAGTGGAAAAACATATTTACTACCCACAACTATGAGAAAGGAGAATTTGCATCATCTTAAAGTGGAGGATATAGCTTGGATTTAATAATCAACAAAGCCTCACTCAACACCAAAGTGGAAAATATCTCACTTCACTACATATTGTAGAAGTATAGTAGCTCGCATCACTATAAGAATCGACAAGAGTCTGATCTTCTGAGAAAAAGAGTTTTAAAGTAAAAAGCCAAAGTGGCAAAATGATTTGAATGAGGTTGATTGACTTTTAGTATTCTCATAAAAAATGTCAAAGTATAATTAAGTTGGTTAAAGTTTAATTAAAAAAATATTTTTGCAAATGCATGGACCTAAGTCCAGGTTTATTGCGAAAGCAGTTCAAGTTAGAAAACAAGAAGAGTTTTCTAAAGGAGGGAAAGATTTTTGAAAATAAAGAAGGTTAGAGGAGATGAAGGGACTATCCTAAAGCATAAGGTAAGATCTAGGGAAAAGAACCGTCTAACCAACAAGGAGTCAACACTTAACATAATTAGTCAATGTAGAATTCCCATCCTTTGGATTAAAACTAAACAAGCAAGGATAACAAACCTCTTAAGAAAACCAAGCTTCAAAGGCATTAAGTCTTCACAAAAATTGGCCAGAGTAACAGATGTATACAAATGAATTCTCAATCACAGACGAAGCATATAATCAGAATAACCTGCACACAAAGAAAACAAACAACCCCAATGTCTTGGGGTAAACCCCAAGAACTCCAGACAAAATAGCAATAGAAGTCACCAGGTCTCAAGGCGGGTCAAGGTCTCTACTCCTAGGTCCAAGAAGTCCATAACCCCAATGCCAAGGATAGTAACCAAATAGTCCAGGTAACATTAAAGCTTTTTATAGTTCAAGTTGGTTATTAGGTATCTTCAAAAAGAAAATGAAAGCTCAAATGAGCAAAGATGAAAATAGCATGAAATGTAAATGCTAAAATAAATGGTGCATAAAAGTAAAGGCGTAAAGTAAAAGCATAAAGACAAAAGTCAGCTGTTAATGAGTTAGAGATTAGAGGTTAGTTGAATGACCATCTTGAAACTTGTATTTGAAAACTTGTTAGAAGATTGATAAAATCAAAGCCTCTTAACAACAAGTTTCAATTGCTTTTTGTCAAGTATATCATTCATTTCAAATTCTCGAGGCGACAATAAATGATCAACGATGTTTAAATGATTCACTTAGGCCAAATTTTATAAAAGTTCATTAGAGGATTGATAAGATCAAAGCCTCCTAACAATGAACATCAAAGTTATTGGATAAAAGGTTTCCAATTAAACATACTTGGGCTTGCATACATTGTTTTGGGCCACAAATGATCATTTCTCGAATCGGGACAAAATTTAGCATTATGTTAAGCAATTATAAGTGGACTTATATAGAAGTCGCGCCTATTTTGAGGTTAGTCAATAGAAATCTATGTGACATATGTTTTGAGAGATGATATGCATATCATCCTCTAACAACATGTAGCACAATGCAAGAATAAGAAAGGGGAGAAGATGAACGAGAATTAAATTCCACATTTGAACCAAAGAATTTAATCAAGCTATTATTAAAATCACTCATCCATTTTTGTGGAGTTAAACTCAACACTGTAGATCCAATGATGTTAATAAAGCTCATGATTAAAATTTAACATAGTCATAGATCAACCTGAATATACACAAAAATAAAATTGCATTAATCAATCAAAATAGAATTGAGAAAATTGATTTTTTAATTTTTTTAAATGAAAATAAAAGTTAAAATAACAAATTATATTCAAAATATCAAAGAAAAGTTAAAACAAACCATATAAAAGTCAGAAATGATCTCAAATTTTTTGGTAATTTTTTAAAATAGAAAACTATTTTTAAGCTAATTAAAATCACTCAAACAAGTGAGAAATAATAAAAAATATGAAAAATCGAAATTACATTCAATAACAAAATAAACTAAGTCAGAAATGAGATAAATGAATTTTGTGAATTTTTTCAGAATTTTTGGGAGAAAAATGAATTTACAATGAATTATTGAAATAAAAATGGATTAAAAGAAAAGAAATTAAAACAGAAAAATTATGTACCATCAGATCCAGTCAATTGACAAAAGTATGGAGATCTAATGAATCATTATGCAGGTACACGATAATTAAAAAACGTACGCGCACATGTGATTATTTTTTGACTTCATCTTCTAAGATGAGGACAAGTGGCAGAGAGACCACTTGTCCTCCTTGTATTGGCCGGTGTGAATCTCGAGGCAGGGAGAGGGAAAGTCAAAAAACTTTCCAGTAAACAAATGTTGTTTACGTTATCATAAAAACAACATTTAATTTTTCAATTATTTAAAAAGCATTCTTTCCTCTCTCCCTTTGATATCTCAGCATAAATCACTTTTCTTTGTTATTTATAAAACAAGACAAGAACATAACAAGAGAGAGAGAGAGAGAGGAAACATGGCACCAGAAAGAGAGAAAGGTGCGAGGGAGAATGGTGGCTTTTGAAAAAAGTTCATCAATTTTGCAAGATCTTGAAAATGATATTCAATTTTTTTTGTTTAAAACCATAATATTCAGTTCAAAAATAAGGAATTAAGGGTGGATTTCGGGTTCAGAGAAAGGAACTCAACCTTCTAGAGCGAGAAAGGAGAAGGACGGCGGAAGAGAGAGATTGACGGTGTTTTTCAACGAAATAGAGGTCGTTCCACGGTGGTGTTCGGTCGCTTCCGGGTGAGATCTTTCTGATTCTTGTATCTTCTTTCTCTGTAATATGAATCTGTGATTTCTAAAAATAAACAACTTTTGAAGGGTTTTCATTTTTGGAAAATGATGATGAAAATCAGTTTTTGGTTTTCACTGTGATGGTGAGGCGCGCGGTTTTTTTCTGATATTTTTGAACTGTCACGTTTTTTGAATGAAATTGATTGGTTTTATATAGTTAGTGATTTCGGTTTTTTCTGTGATATTGGGACTCTGAGTTCCTTTTTATAGGCTTTCATGCGAATTTTAGTGGGCTTTGGTTTTTGTACTTTCTGATATGTGAACATGTTCCGGAATGTGATTCCTGACTTGCTATTTTTACTCAATGCTTTAATGTTGGGCCTGAATTAGTACGTTGCAAGTTTGGTGCATATCTTTGTGGGCTCTGATACATTTGTACTTTCTGATATGCTTCAGACCTGTTTCCATTTTATTAATTTTCTGATGTACTGCTTTGGGCAGAGCTGTGATTTTCTCTATTTTGTTATCTTGTTGAAGTTTTCACTTCTTTACTCTTTGTACCTCCCTTGTGAACCAAAAAACCGTTCTTTTTTTTTTGTGATTTGCAATGGGAGTTGTGGACCTATGATTGATACTAAAATTCTGATTATTGTGTTAGAAAAAAGAATGAGGCCTTTTTGTTGGATGATTGAATTCAAAACCTTCTACTTCTGATTCCTTGTAACAAACCCTAGTGATGAGATTGCAGAACTCTTCCTTTGGAAATTTCTTCTTGCTCATGTTTTGATTATCTTACTAACCATTTCTCTTTCTTTTTTTTTCATGCGATGTTGAATGATCTCGGCTCGGTGTAAAGAATGAAACCTTGAAGAACAACGGTGAATCTGAAACCAATATCGTGAAGCTTGCAAGAATGTATACTTACAAGGCTATGATGCCAAATTACTTGTAATATGAAACTTGAAGTTTTAGGCTTACGACTTGAATTTTGTATGTATTGAATGCAACTTGCAACTTAAACAAAGAACTCTTGTCATAGTTTATTTTGTAATTAGGAATAGAAAGAAAACTCTTGATGACTTGAAAATTTATGTAAGTTTCTTCTTGAGTTTGAATATTTATTGTGAAAAAAACTTGGAATTGTTGAGAAAAGAATTAGATTTAAATCCTTGGAACATGTTTTGAATGGTTCTTGAAAACATGGAATAAAGTTGAACTTGGAACTTATACTATTGAACTTGAGTATCTTTTGATATTCTTGAATTTATTTTAGAATGAAGTACACTTGAAAAATCAAGAAAATTCCCATTCAAACAAAGGACTTGAGATGATATTTGATGAATTGGTACTTTGTAGTTTGAAAAGAAGTACGAATCTTGAAGGAATATTGCCTTATAATGCTTGACAACTTGAAACATTTCCCTTGATGAACTCATGTCATTAGGAGCTTGAATTCATTAATCAAAATTGCCTCTTGAAACCTTGGAAAAGGCTTGAAAGATTTGACAAATGCATCATAATTCCTAAACTTATGTCAACAAAGTAATTTCCTTAATCTCTTGAATTCCAAATTGGAGTTTTGAATAATTTGAATCCATGAACTCTTAAGAAAGAAATCTCATGTCATAGTACACTACCTTCCAATACAATTCTTGCCAATGAAAACTTCTTCATAAATAAAATATTGTCTTAAAAACTTAGGGTGTAAATCAAAATTAGGGGTCAAAATGACTTATAATGTTCCAATAGAAACCTTAACTTTCTATGCACGATTTGGCTTCGACCCTTAAAGAAAATTTATAGATAACGCTATTTGTGACACCATGCAAAAATAATCATCCTAAAACGATGAAAATTGAAAGAGTTACGATCCTTGAAAGTTGGACGAAATTCACTTGAAAATAGGTCAAATTCCAAAAAACGACCTCTAATGTACTCAGACTTTTGATGGCCTTCTACACATAATTAGCTCTTAACTTGTAAAGAGAAGTTGGAGATGATGTTAAGCAGATTCATATTCTCGAAGAATTGACCAAAAATAATGAATAATGAAGAAGTTATGATTATTTGAACTCGAACTTGCAAACGTTGACTTTCAGCCAACCCACTTTAAATTAACTGTAGACTTTGTCTTTCTTTAACAACTCGAAGCATTCTTAATCACTCATGAGCTTGAGACATCGAAGAAGGCATGGAAATAAACACATGAACCTATCTCGAAGAATCTTGATAATTAAGCAACCCAGCTCGCCTTAACCAAGCTGACTAAAACTTCAAAATAGCGTGACCTAAGATTATATATCACCACTCTGAAACATTAGCTTTTGGGAACCATCTTTGGCCTGAACAAACCACAACCCTAATAGGAGAGTCGTCACTTGAATTTCTTGATGGCAAACCCTGTCTTACAAGAAAAAAATAAACAAAACATATTTTTGGATTTTGGTTAGAGGTCATAAAATTATAAAGTACATATATACAAGATACACGATTCATGGTGCTTGTGATCTCTCAAGAGAAAACTTAAAGTTAAGACACAGTAGAATAAATACCCAAACCCTAATGCATGATCTTGTTGCATTGTTATGGTATGAGATGACAGAGGAATCTTAGGGGAAAAAATTGGGGGTACAACACCTATGTACGGGGTCAGATGGCTTTCGTTCAACTGCAAGGTGGTGAGCAGTTGGGCATACATGTTGTCCATCGAGCTGCCTTGATTGACCAGTAAGCATTACACGTTGAAATTCGCTACGCGAGCTCTCATGAGCAGAGGGATGGTTCAATTTGTGGCTCTGCCTGGAAGTTCCTCCCTGTAGAAGGCGAGGGGATGAGAGCCTCCTCAGAACTTTTCCAGTGTGGCGTCCATGTCCAAGTTAGCTTCGATGAGCTGGTCGAATCTTCTTTTATCGAGCCAACTGTATGCCTGTTGAATCCCCCGCCGGAGATAACCATGGCTGCGGGGAAATATTCCCAAGGACTATGGGAGGATAAGTGCAGGGGAACATTCTCCATGTCCGGGTAGTAGAAATTTTCCGACCGTGAGATGCTCATGGCGATTGGAATGGCGTCGATGTCGGGGGATATCTTCCCTTCTTTAACGTTTCTAATTTCTGGTGCTTCTTTGCAAGCACCCTCCTTTTTTTGTATTGTTTGAGGTGCCCATCTCGAATCAGTATTTCGATTGCATCCTTGAGATGAATGCAATATTTGGTGTTATGCCTGTGATTTGTGAAACCTCAAATATTTTCACTTGTCGGTTTCCGGTTTGGACGGTGTTTATCATGGGAAGCGCACCCCGGCCTTCTTAAATTCAGAAATGGCACATTCAGGTAGAATACACTCCCTTAAGGTAGTCAGAGGGGTGTAGTCGTGGAAATGACCAGCTGGTCCCTTGTAGTCCTTGGAATCACGAGATTTTTTTCCCGTTTCTTTTCTCCCCGATTGGATGTTGAGGGCTCGTCATTCCTAGAAGGCTTGGTACTCTCTATATGCCTCGGTTCTCTGGCGTTGTTGGCTTCTTCCTTCTTATTGTACTGGATGTACTTCTAGGCCTTGAGGAGGAGGGAGTCGAGCATGGACGGTGTCTCAATGCCCACAACTCCGGAAAAGTAACTACGGGGACGAAGCCCTTGCTCGTGGAGATATTTCTTCATGTTGTCGGTCATTGAGACCTGGACTACTTCCTTGTTGAAGCGTTTAATGTATGCCCGCATAGATTCATCTCTTCCCTGGATGATTGCTTCGAGCAAAGCCTCCGACTTCGGGTGTCGACGAGAGGCAATGAAGTGTCTCGAGAATATCCTTTCGAGCTGCTTCCAAGAGGTGATGGATTCATCCGGGAGACTCTTATACCAAGACATTGCTCCATTCTTGAGAGTGGTTGGGAACAATCTACATTTGATGGCCCCTCTGACTCTTCGAAGTCGAGGAGAGTGTCAATGCTCTCAATATTCTTGATGGGGTCCATCGTTCCATCATAGGTTCCCAATGGAGGTGGCTTCTCCAGGCCGATAGGGAGTGGGGCTTCTGTAATTTCCCTTGATAGCAGGCCACGGGGCTCGTCGTCTTCACTATCTGTGGGGGGACAAATAAGGGGAGAAATAATTTCTACCACGTCGATCATCACGGTCTGTCGGGGGTAGGGAATCCTCCGCTTTTGTCTTGGTTCGGAAAAAGGTAATCGAGCATGGTCGATTTGACGGTCGTCTTTCCTCTTCTTGGATGAAAGGGAGTCTTGATCTTTCATAGGAGGTGTGTGATTGCATTTCTTGAAGAAAGAAACGTCACACTTCTCCTTTCTTGGTGGAGGGTCGTGCCTAGGCGGTGATATATTGGAGGCGTCTCGTTGTAGGGTTCTCCGAGGATGTGACCCCGACCGCTTATTCTCCCAGGACCCTATCCTTGGGTTCTGTTGTAGGATAAGTGTGTTGGTGTGATTGATAGCACTGAGAAACACTATGATGGACGGGTCGGAGCTGAGAGGGATGGGAACTGGCTGTAAGATTTCTGGTAGTTCCTCGTCGGGATTCTTGGGATGTCTATCATCCAAGAATTGGTTCACGTTGCGTCGGGCGTCAGTTGAATCTTGAGACGCAGTTTGTCTGTCTCGGAAACCCAAGTTGTCCTCGAGGTGATGATGTTTCTGTCTTTCGTCGGTTTTGTGAGAAGGGGAAAGAACAGCCTTTCTGAGTAGATGGAGATCATCATGGTCGATCATGATTAGTGAAACGAATATTGAAAAGTTGCTTTGATCTTTTGAGTTTCGAGGAAAGAAAGATGGGGAGAGTAGTTTCCCACATATGGCGCCACTGATCTTACCGGATGATCAGAACCTACAAGGTGGCCAGGTGATGATCTGTAATTGAGTTGTGTTGTCGAGGAGGAGTAAAATGGGGTTGTACCTGCAAGGTACTTTGACGATTAAGTAAGAGTGGGAACAAGGAGATACAAGTAAAGTGTTAAGGTATTATTGGTGAATAGTGAATATTCGCTACCTTTTCTTCACAAGTGTGAGGGTATATATAATTCCCTTGGCGCATAGCCATTGGTTCCTATTTTTATGCCTGGATATATGGGTCTGCAAAATCAGGTAACTGCCGGGACTTGGTCAAACCGGGAAGATGTTCCTGTAACTAGTCATTGGTTCTAAGGAGGAGGCAAGTTACGGGCATCTCTTTGGTCGGTTCCTGGTTGCATGCACGACTTGATGTTGGGCAGACTGAGAGGTTCTCGTTGGTCAACTTAGGCCAGTACCAGCTTGGGAAGGTAAAGGGTTAATATTTCCCGATAGAGAGTGGGGCGGTTCAGGCCAAGGACGTTTGGGCCGTACCTAAAAAAGGGCTAGACTGGGCCCATTCCAGCTGTCAGGCCAGTCCATAACAAGTTCCGAGGCACCTGGAAGAAAGGAAATTGATATTAAGGAAGAAACCCACCTAAATAACTTCACAGAGCTGGTAAAAAGGCTCTACACTAACATCCTGTTTTCTGAAAATTTATCTTTGAACCCCTCTTTTAAGAGAACTTTGAAAATCATTTTTCCAAGAAAAGGAAATTAGAAAACCATGAGATCATGAAGTTAGCTGCTAGGTTTAGCGCCTTCATAGAACATGGAACTCCACCGAAGTTGGAGGATCCCGAGGAATTCTCGATCCCCTATAAGATTGGCACTCTAAAAATTGAAAAGGCTTTTTGTGACCTTGGTGATGCGGTCA